TCACTAGGATTATTGATTAAATAAAATACTTCAAGCTATCATATAAATAATAGGACTAACACCTTACTTTTAGCTAGATTTTAATTATTTCTTGTCTCCATATATGCGGGTATTCAGGTAATATTAATAATATGGTTTTCAGATCCGGTTAACTTTTTAGTTGGTTTACATTTTGCTCAATCTCCTTGGAATAATTAAGTGAGAAAAAATTGAGTGCCTTTACTTATACGATGAATTATAGCTATAAATATAATGTGGCAACTACATCATTGGTCAACATATATCGAGCGCAAGGTGACTATTTAAGTAATTCCATTACAGCTTAAACTACTATTTTTAACTGCATAAAACAAGCATATAAGCATAATACTTTTTTGCTCTAGTTTTTTATTACTTCGTAAAGGTTTTGACTTACATAGTCAATGATAAACATGCATGTAAATCAATTTGTTTAATTGACGCCATAACCTTAATCAAAACATGTAAACCCACCAATTTTTTTTTTATTAAATGTATTAAATTAACGAAAAATCGCAAAATAGCTGAGTATTATTTTTTGCTTTCCTTGGTGTTTCTGTTTTTCTTGCCTCCTCATCTCAAACCCCGCACTTTTCTGCTGCCTCACTTATCTTCTCCCGTTTCTCCCATGGCAGTTAACGCGGATTTGAATATCGATGAATTTATTTCCAGACTTTTGGAGGGTAACGCATTTTACATTTTAATATATGAATTCCTAGTAAGAGGTTCTAGACCGGGCAATCTTGTAAACATGAAAGAAGAAGAAATTCGCATTCTCTGTGAAAAATCACGTGAACTTTTTCTTGCGCAGCCAATCCTACTCGAATTAGAGGCACCCCTTAAGATATGCGGTATATACATGTTTTGTTTATCTCTTAATATTTTCCAATGAGCTTTGTTCATTATTTTTTTATCTGCATATATTTACGTATTATACTTGCCGTATTTTTGAATATTTACACCTTATAGCTAGTATCATGTGCCTGTATTTTCTTTTATTAATATTTTATACACATCTATCTAAGTTTCATCTTTTGGTAATTGTTTTTGGCAGGTGACATACATGGGCAGTACACTGACCTCCTAAGACTCTTTGAATACGGCGGGTTCCCTCCCGAGTCAAATTATCTCTTCTTGGGGGATTATGTAGATCGAGGAAAGCAGAGCCTTGAGACAATTTGCTTGTTGTTAGCATACAAGATACGCTATCCTGAAAATTTTTTCCTTCTGCGTGGCAATCATGAATGTGCATCAATCAATCGAATTTACGGCTTCTACGATGAATGTACGTCAATATTTAACGTATCTTAATTTTTTGGTCACCCTTTTATTTAAAACTGTCATTTTCGACTTTCAGGTAAGCGACGTTACAGTGTCAAGTTGTGGAAAACATTTACCGACTGTTTTAGCTGTTTACCAATCGCTGCCATTGTTGACGAAAAGATATTTTGCTGTCATGGAGGTACTTAATTCCCATTTAAAAAGAGATAACTAAATAACATGCTTTGAAGCGTATAAAATTTTGCTACCTTTTCACCTAGTAAACCTGCCACTGCGGGTTGTTCTATCCTCGAAACTACACTGCTTAGTTATATAAAGTTTTTTACAGTAAATAGTAAGTTAGTTAAAATCACATTATGAATGTTATAACTAGGTTTTCGTACTTTACGGTGCTCGATATTAAATTAA